ATGGGTTGTAATTGGGATTTCCAACTTATGCAAGAGCCACACAAAGTAAACACATAGGAAGTGGTAGATTTTCTATTATCCCTATCATTTGCATAATTGGAATCTACATAGCCAGCAAGTTTGACACCTTCAGAACACTTAGAAAAGGTTAATCCTACATCCACAGAGGATTTCAAATATCTTAAAAGCCACTTCAAGGCATTCCAATGAGGCATACCAGGGTTTGACATATATCTACTCAAGCAACTAACCGCATATGCAATGTCAGGCCTAGTACTAACCATGAGATACATGACAGATCCTATAGCATTCGAATATGGCACCTTTTTCATATCATTTATTTCAGTTTCAGTATTGGGAGATTGATCCTTACTTAACACAAAATGGGAAGCAAGAGGCACATTCACAAATTTGGCATTAGACATAGCAAATTTACTCAAAATTTTTTCAACATATGAACTTTGGTTTAAAACTAGAGTAGATTTGTTTTTGTCTCTAATAATATTCATGCCTAGGATTCTTTTAGCATCACCTAAGTCTTTCATGTCAAAATTTTCATAAAGACATTTTTGAACATGCTTAATAGGCTTCAAACAAGGACTAACAATCAACATGTCATCCACATAAATTACAAGAAATATAGGCACAGAGTCTATATTCTTATAATACAGGCAATGATCAGCAGAACTCCTTTTAAACTTTAAAGAATGCATGCATTTATCAAATCTAATATTCCATTGCCTAGGTGATTGTTTTAAACCATACAAAGCCTTTTTTAACAAACACACATGATCAGACAATTTAGGGTCCACAAAGCCCTCAGGTTGGTGCATATAAATATTTTTATCAAGATCACCATGCAAGAAAGCAGTAGTTACATCCATTTGTTTTAATTCCCAATTAAAATGAGCAACTAAAGCAAGCATAATTCTAACAGTAGTGAATTTGACAACAGGAGCAAAAATTTCAGCATAATCAATTCCCTCCTTTTGAGTAAATCCCTTAGCTACTAACCTAGCCTTAAACCTAACACTTTCAGATTCTTGTTTCACTTTAAACAGCCACTTACAGTTCACTCTTCATAGCACTAATCCATTCTTCAGAATATTTTGACCTTAATGCTTCTTTATAAGTCTTAGGTTCATTGCACTCAAGGGATTCAAACACATTAAAGGCAAACTCAGACATATTACAATCAATCAAATTGCAATCTCTATATCTTTCAGGTTTCCTAATGGTTCTTTTATTTCTATCCCTAGTGAGTTGATAATCATTCAAATCATGCATGTTATCTATTTCCTGCATATCATGCTCCACCTCATTTGGAATAATCTCATCTTGATTTTCAATAATTATATCATTCAATTTTTCTTCAGGAAATGATTTGGGTTGATTAATAATAGGCTTTTGCTCCACCTCATTTGGAGCATCATTTTCAGGAATAGGAACATGTAAAGGTAAACAAGGAAATTCATTTTCATTAAAGACAACGTCTCTGCTTATCACTACCTTAAACCCCGGTTCACTCTTATTCCAAAGCCTATAACCTTTTACCCCTTCAGGATATCCTAAGAAAACACATTTCTTAGATCTAGGTTCTAACTTATCAATCTTTTGATGCACATAGCCAGCACTCCCGAAAATTCTCAAATTATTTAAATCAAGAGGTTTGCCCGTGAACACAAATTCAGGGCATTTCCCTCCTAAGGGAACAGAAGGAGACCTATTAATCAAATAGGCCGCAGTACAAACAGCTTCTCCCCAGAACTTCTTGGAGAGCCCAGATGTGGCCAACATAGCCCTCACCCTCTCTAAGAGAGTTCTATTCATCCTTTCAGCAACCCCATTGCTTCTCCCCAGAACTTCTTGGAGAGCCCAGATGTGGCCAACATAGCCTTCACCCTCTCTAAGAGAGTTCTATTCATCCTTTCAGCAATCCCATTCTGCTGGGGTGTGTAGGGAACAGATTTATGCCGTTTAATACCCCAAGTAATACACAAATCATTCAATTGTTTGTTACAAAACTCAAGACCATTGTCTGTCCTAAGAGTTTTTATTTTCTTTCCCGTTTGGTTTTCAATCATAATTTTCCAGTTTTTAAATTTATCAAAAACTTCAGATTTTTGTTTCATGAGTAAAACCCAAACTTTCCTAGAATAATCATCAATTATGGAAAGAAAATATTGGTTCCCTCCATGCGTAGGCACACTAGAGGGACCCCACACATCAGCATGCAAATATTCAAGTACACTAGTGCACTTAGACTGATTAGGAAAAGAAGAAGTAGGAAAAGTAACCCTATGTTGTTTTCCTAGCACACAAGATTCACAGAAAGGGATGGGGGATATTTTATCACTACCAAAGTGACCTCCTTTATGCAAAATTTCTAATCCTTTATTACTCATGTGACCTAATCTATTATGCCATAAAACAGATTTATCACCTATCACAGAGTTAACAGAATCAAGCACAGGTTCAGCATGACAAATATACAAATTGTTTTGTTTTTCAGCAGTAAAAACAACAAGAGACCCTTTTTGAATTTTCATAACCCCTTTACCCCATTTTCCCTCCAAACCATCATTTTCTAGAGATGCACAAGAAATCAAGTTATAACGTAAATCAGGAACATGCCTAACATCCTTCAAAGTAAACACAGAACCAGAGGAAAACCTAAGGCATACATCACCAGTTCCTAAAACATTGCATTTCTTTTCATTTGCCATTGACACAAAGCCATTCTCTATTTTCTTGTAGTTTGAAAACAAGGTTTTAAAAGGAGTCATATGAAAAGTACAACCAGAGTCTACCAACCAATCTGATTTACACAAAGGATCAGATAACACAGAGTTCAAATATGCATAATCACACAGATTATTAATCATGAAAATCTCACCCATTTTGCCCTCACAGACAGCCATATTAGCATGTTCATTTTGCTGATTTTTCTTAGGCTTAGGACAATCTTTAATAAAGTGACCAGTTTCATGACAATTATAGCATTTTTTAGCTTTAAACCTGGACTTAGATCTACCCCTTCCATTTTCAAATTTTTTCTTACTTGATTCCCCATTACTAGCATTCTTTTGGTAATTAGACCTATTCTGAGGCCTACCCCTCACATGCATAACCTCACCAGAATTTTTATTTCCCCCAGAATGTTTTAAATCTAATTCCTTACTCTTAAGACCATTGACCACAACATCAAGGGTAACCTCATCTCTACCATATTTAATAGCAGATTTCACATCACTATATGAGTCAGGAATAGCATTTAGAAGGGCAATAGGAGTATAATCATCTATATGTTTATCACCAGTTAACTTAATATCTGAAATAAGTTTTGTGAAAACATCTAGGTTCTCCTCAATGTCCTTAGACATATCCAATCTAAATTTGAAAAAATTTTCAAGCAAAAACATTTTACTGGGCAAAGAGGTTTCAGTATAGAGTTCTTCAAGTTTATCCCAAAGAGTTTTAGCACAGTCCAAAATTCCAACTTTTCTAATCACAGAGTCAGATAAGTTCAAATAAATTGTGGAACAAGCATTTTCGTTCATTTCCGCCCGTTTATTTTCAGTGTCAGAGGTTAAATAAGTCTGACCAACAGCCCTAACGGACTTCTGTTGAATTAAGATGCATTTTATTTTTTGTTTCCAAATGCTAAAATCAGATTTTCCGTTGAACGGAGCCATACCATATTGAATCATACTATATTGATTAGCAGCAGACATTTTTCACACAGAAAAAAATAGATAATAGTATCACAGCAACTAGCACGAGCAAGGGAAAAACAAGAGAAACAAAAAAATAAATTTTCCAGCAGCTAGCACGAGCAGAAACACAAACAGGAAAATTTTTTCAGCAACTAGCATGAGCTGTTGAGTTGGGTTTTCAGCTGATATACCTGAGCGAAACCCTAGGAGAGGGTTTCGACCTTACCCACGCCCACGCGGTGGTCCGGCGGCGGTCCGGCGTCTGTCCGACGGTGTCCAGTGGCGGTCCGGCGGTGTCCAGCGGCGATCGGCGGCGGTTTTGAAGCACAGCGACACTAACCTCGCTCTGATACCACTGTTGAGGATCTAGTTGTCGTTTGTGGATTGGAGTTCTCCTTAGGTAGTTAAGTAGGTTGTTCTTCAAACACAGGTAAAAACCGATCTTCTCGTTTGTATCAAAACTGCATCTCAGTTTTGCATGAAAACATATGATTGATGTTGAATTAGAAAATATGAGTTCACTGATTAGCATGTGAATCATTGTACGTGCACATGCAAATTGGTTTATCTTAAGTTATAGAGGGAATGTGTAGAGTTTATAGTGTTCAGATTGTTGTTTAACATGTAAACAAACTTTAGTATATCATGTAAACAAACTTTCAAGGTCTACTCTTTTATGACTGGATAAAATAGCTTCATCTATTTTTTGCCTATATATTATCTTGCATTTGAATAACTAATAATCAGAGTTGAAAGAGTATTATGAATCATAATATATTAGGTCTGTGAAATAAAATATAAATCTATTGTCAAACAATTCTCTTGATCTGAATGAACTATGTAGTTGCTCAAAAGGAAGCTTATGGTATCTGCCAAGTATTATTCAAGCACATGTTGTACGAACTGTTCAATTATGGTAGGTTTTAGGGTTTATCCCTCGAGTTGCTTCAGATAACTCTTTGGGCTTTTTGTGAATTTGAGGGGAAAAAGGTAGCATCTTGTCGGATATGTTCTTTACACCTTGCTATATCAATGCTAAAAGAATTTTTTTTACTTGCCCCATAAATCATTGTGTGTCTGTATAATTATCACCTTAGACTTTTGCGTACTTGATCTATCAAAGTGTTTCAAAGAGTGTTTTTTTTCTTCTTGTCCTTTGTGCAATTTCAGACGCATCTTAATAGTTCTACATACATTTCCCCCTTGAACTTTCAGGGTGGTGGATTCAGGGGTAGGAGTGATGGTGGCAGAGGCCGAGGAAGATGAGGTGGAGGGCGAGGTGGTCCTGAAGGCCGGGGTGGTGGTGGAAGAGGACGCGGTGCTGGTTGAGGTGGTGGTGGAAGAGGGCGTGGTGGAGGTCGCGGTGGTGGCTGTGGAGGTGGAATGAAGGGAGGAAGCAAAGTAGTGGTTCAGCCGCATAGGCATGATGGAGTCTTCGTTGCCAAGGGGAAGGAAGATGCCCTTTGTACCAAGAACATGGTTGTCGGTGAATCCGTTTATGGTGAGAAGCGCGTTGCTGTGCAGGTGATTGTTCTTGGTTTTTATAAGCTTTTATTGATTATGGGGCACTTTTGTTGAGTCTGATGTCCAATTATGGTTTTTCAAGGGGGTTCAGGGCTAGTTGCAGCTGCTACTGGTACAAATGGGCAAATCAAGGTTATATAATCACTCTTTTACTTGTTGCTTGTAAGTAACAATTCTTTTGAAAGTCTCTGATTTTGAAATTCTTTTTGCTTGTAAGTAACAATTCTTTTCAAATCCATGTTGGCGGCCAAAATCCACATCCGAAGAGCTATTGAGGCTGAGGGAATACCTTATACCTTTGCATGCTCAAACTACTTTGCAGGATATTCAATTCCAACTCTTGCTCAATCAGATTCATTTGCTCCTCCTCCTAAAGACAAACTCACCATCTTTGGTGATGGCAATGTCAAAGGTAAGCCTATGTACATAGTACATACGACATATAAATTCCTCCAAAGAGAGAAAGAGAGATCAAGAAAGGATTGTGTGTCACTTCGCGCTCTTGGATGTTCTGTCACTGACTTGATATACATCCAGACCATTATAATCTAGATCATTTATATTGCTACATTATTACTGACAACTTGGATGTGAGCCACATCAGATACATCAAAACCAAAATACACCAACGCTCGTTTAGTCATACACATGCATTAGGGCTTGTTTATAATTTGTAAATTTTTATTATCATTTAGACTCCCTTAGTGTTTAAATGGAGTTATCTCTTGATTATATGTGGTTATACTATAGGCTTGTTTGCTCAACACCTTTCTCTGTCAATAGAATGAAATATTAGAGGATCTCCTCTGTGACACATTGATGTCATGTGACATACATGTGAGGGTTACAAATAACATATAAACATCGGGAGGAATAGCTGACTAATTAATAACTTCTGTAATTTAGCATGTGTATCCGCTATATACCCGCAATTAACTCATAAAAACATATATCTTTGATTTGATTAGTCTCATGGTCCATGCTAAACCTTTTCCCTTATTTGTTTCAGCAATTTTTGTGAATGAAGATGACATCGGAACATACACCATTAAAGCTGTGGATGATCCAAGAACACTAAACAAGATTTTGCACGTAAGGCCTGAGAGTAACATCTACACTCACAATGAGCTTATAACTTTGTACGAGCAGAAGAGTGGGAAAACCTTTGAACGAATTTACCTCACAGAGGAGGAGGTCTTAAAGAAGATAAAAGGTTGTTAATTAATTAGTAATATATTTACAAAAATGTCTATAATTTTTATTTTGTATCGAAAACTAACTTTCCCCCCTCTATTTCTTCTTCAGAGGCTAGTTGCAGCTGCTACTGGTACAAATGGGCAAATCAAGGTTATATAAGCACTCTTTTACTTGTTGCTTGTAAGTAACAATTCTTTTTGAAATTCTCTGATTTTGTTATGTAAGTTTACACTTATATTAAAAAATCAATTACTTCCCTAAATTGCAGGTTCCTAGTGAGTACAGGTTCCTAGTGAAATTGGCGATTGAGGCTGATAGGTTCCTAGTGAGTATTTGACATTGAGGCACAAGTTTTTGGAAACAAATAGAGAATATAAAGTCTTTGACTGAGAAGTTTCATGTTTTGTAATCAAATGTTGATGTTGTTTGAATATTAGTTCGGTACGATATTTTCTGAATACTTTGTAGTTTTTATACTATACTGATGTATGTTGGCACTTATCATTATGGTTGATTATGCTCAACATTTTCACTTTGATATTGTGTATTTAAATTTGATTTGGGACATGTTCTTAAAAAGATTGTCCAGGTGATTGAATACTATATGATTTTGACGTAGGGAGCCAAGAACAACTCAATCGGAGCCGTTGCAATAGCTCAATCAAAAACGCTGCAATAGCTCAATCAAAACTATTGCGATAGCTCAATCCAAACCGTTGCGTTAGGTCTTTTAAAACTGTTGTAATAGCTAAAAAAACCGCTGTAGTAGCTTGAAAACCGTCGCAATAGCTCAATCAAAACCGTCGCAATAGCTCAATCAAAACCGCTGCAATAGCTTAAAAACCGTCGCAATAGCTCAATCAAAACCGTTGCAAAGGCTTAAAAACCGCTTGCCTTTTAAAACCGTTGCGTTAGATGCGGGGGCAACAGTTCAAAAAATCGTCGCAATAGAGTTCAAAACCGTTACGGTAGAGGTAGGGCAACGGCAGCATATAAGGCGGTTTGAGAACCGTTGCACTTGCTCAAGGGCGACGGTTCTATGGCTAGCGCAACGGTTTTGAACCGTTGCGTTAGAGCAAATATGTGGTAGTGAAACACTCATAAATCATGCTTTAAACACACTAAGATAATGCATATTTTACGTGTTTATTACTTACGTACCTTATAGTTTACATGATCGAAAGAGTACAACTAGTTACACTTTCTTTATCGGTGATACTCCTTTTACCTGTTCTTCACAGAAGCAGCCGATAGTCACTCTTTCAACTTGTGAAGCTGGATATGTTGCTGCATCATCGGGTGTTACTCATGCACTTTGGTTGAGAAACTTGCTCAAAGATCTTCAATTCGGACAAGAAGAGCAGACCAAAATTTGTGTTGACAACAAGTCGGCTATTGTACTTTTAAAAACTCTAATGTTTCATGAAAGGAGCAAACATATTGATACTCAATATTATTTTATCCGCGATCAAGTAAAGAACGAGAGGAAGTTGAGATTGGGTTCGTGAAATGTTTACTAAGCCATTGAAGCTTGACGTGCTTACATTATTGCGAGACAAGCTTGGCATGATTGAAGGATCATCTTTAAGGGAGATATGTAGAAAGTAAACTTGATTAAATTACATTGGGAATTGAGAAGATCATATTTAGTTGTTTGAGGAGTCAAATGCGTGAATATGTAATGCATGAAAATTTAAATGCATGAATTGGTAGATGCATGAATGCTATTGATCGAGAAATGTAAGAGTCTTTGTTAGGAAATCTGTGCGTCGTAGTAGTAGTAGTATATATATGTGGTTTGTAAATTGAAAGGGGTCAAGAAAAGAAGAAAAAAATCAATAGAATAATTTTATCCTCCTCCAATAAATTGTTTATCCTGGGTAAAATATTATTATCAATTATGTGTATGCATGAATGCTATTGGGAAATGTAAGAGTCTTTGTTAGGAAATCTGTGAGTCGTTGTAGTAGTATATGTGTGTGTGGTTAATTTGTAAATTGAAAGGAGTCAAGAAAAGAAGAAAAAAATCAATAGAATAATTTTATCCTCCTCCAATAAATTGTTTATCCTGGGTAAAATATTATTATCAATTATGTGTCTAACAGCTACAATATCTCCTAAATACTTCAGTTACAAAAAAGAAATGCAGTAATCAGTAACTTAGGAAGAAAAGAGAAATAAAAATAAACCCCAGTCCCTAAACTGAACAAGCCAGTCGGATTGAGTAGTTGGAAAGTATGATAGATACTTATAAGTACGTAACTGATTTTATTCTCCCCTCTCTCTCAATAACTACCACATGCAATAGCAGATAAACAACAATTAAAATTGCGACTAGAACTAGGCTGGTTAACCAAACTAATGAAGGATCAACTAACCAGCTACGTACAAATATTTCTATAACACCAGATCATATATTCAACTGCTGCTCAACACTTCACAAGGCTGGTTAACCTAGAATTCCAAACCTAGAATAACTCATCTCTCCCAAAAGTTAATTTATAGTCCCAAGACCACAACAACAACACAAGACCAGGGTATGGGGTTGTAATCAGAATGCACATAATTAGTAAAAAGATTACTCAGAGTATGGGTCTTTGGAGAAATATGTTGCCCCTTAACTAGGAAAATAAAGGACAGAGTATGGTCCTAGCTTAAGGCAGGATTCCTGATTTACAATGGATATAGGGGAGAGAAACACGTGATACTGCTCCCTCTGCCTCTGAGCATGTGTAACTGCTGAAAAGTTCCGAAGCCAAAAGGAAAGTATATTGGAAAAAGGTCCAAGTGGGTGATGTTTACTTTCATGTGCTGTTTCATTTCTGAAATAACTGTAAATTTTTCTTAATTTCCAAGCTCAAGCCGATTGGAAAATATGCATCAACCTTTTTCTGATAACTAAGATATATACATGTTTCCTGTAATGCTTATAGTTACATCTGAATCTTTCAGATTACTTTCTAAGGTTGTTAATTTTTCCTTGTAGAAATCGAAAAAATCCCAGTTTTAGTGTATCAACATATGATGCAGCAATATAATTAGCATTGATCTTTGTTTATTTGGATAGTTTAACTCAACCAACTCTGGCCTATGTATTTTTTGTTTACATTTAGATCTAGTCAAACCCATTCGTGAATTAGTAATGGAGGTTCCATTCTTCAACTGGAAACGATAAAGTCTCCTCTTCAAATGCAAGCGATTTTCCACACTTTTGGTCAAATACTTGCTTTCGAGAATCTCCCAAATCTTCTTCGCAGAAGTCTCATTTATCACATCATATTTTAGATCTTGAGTCTTTACATTTAGATCTAGTCAAACCCATTCGTGAATTAGTTCAATTGATAAATCAAATTCAACATATTTGACAGGTTATGTTAGACTAACAAAAGAAAGTCATGCGTCAATGGAATACTTAACAATATTCCAAATTCACATGGTGAGAAAATGCTATGAAATATCATTTGAAGCATTCCAGTTTGGCCTGTATCTATGACGTCCTCAGTATAGGAGAGTTTACAATTTTGTTAAATCTCTGTCTGGCCTATGTATTTTTTGTTTATTAGAACTGACAATGTTTATATCAAGAATGCTTGGATCCCACAAAATAATAATTCTAGCCTTGTTAGCTTGACTGTGCCATTAAACTTCTCCACATCTATCTTCATAGAGTGGATATTCAAACTCTGAATGGTCTTCGTGCCTGAAGCACCACCCTCGACACCCGAGGCACCTTCTTTCCCCGACATCTTACGCACCAACGAACGAAGAATAGATCCAAACTAAAAAGATAGAGTCTTTACCAAAAGATCCCACCTTTATCACCAACGAAGCCCTAAACGAGCCTCCAAATTGATCTACTCCTCCAACCAAACCCTAGATCTGGAATCTGGGCTCTGATACCACTTGTTGTGCGCAGCGGAAATTTCGGCAGAGTTTCTGGTGCACAATAAGAGAGAAAGATCGATAAGAATTCTTGTTTCTCAAAGGGAACAAGAATCTGAAAGCCTAATATCCCATCAAAGTGGGATATTTCCTCTCGTCAGCTCTAGGACTGCACGTCGAGGGATCCTAAAACTATTACAATGGCCACAAACTCAAACAAACCAATTTTTACGTGGTTCGGCAAACTGCCTACGTCCACGGGGCAAGGAGGGGGATCTACTATTAGAGAGAAAATACAATAGGTTTACAATCTCACAAAATAAACCCTCAAACTAACTCTCTAATCTCTCACATAAACAGCCACTAAATAGGATTTTTTTTTTCTCTGCACGGAGCCCAAGAAGAACTCAGCCGCACTTTTATTTTTTTTTTTCTTTCTTCCCTCTGCTTCCGCACCCCAGCCGCACAAAAAAATCCTTGCTGCCAATTTGCCTCCCTGCTCACGAAAAACCTAGGACAAAAGTCCTTTTATAGGCTGCAAACCCTATGCTATCGGGTGGGCCTAGTCACAATCAGGAAGCAAACAAAGCTTCACATGAAACCCTCACGCGGACCCCACGAGAAAACTTTCACACCAGCAGCACATGGCTTTCACAATGTGGGCCCCACTCAAAATATCTCTTCACGAAACGTCCCTATCGTTTCATGCGTTCACAAAAAACCCCCTCTATCAGTTGCAAAGGGATCCAACCTCAAAGAATCCAGATGAGAGAATGAATTACTAGTAGGTATAACAGGTTCTGTGGGCAGAAAATTCTCATGCTTAGTCCACATGTTAAAGAATTTAAAAGGCCTCTTTCCTTGCACATCATCCTCATAGATGGAGACTAGGGCTGGGGAGTGATCTGAGATTTTTGGCGTAAGAAATTCTACCTGACTAGAGTTGAAAACATGCAACCATGTCATTCACCAGAGCTCTGTCTAATCTACACCATATTCTTTGACTTGAATCTTGCTTGTTGTTCCAAGTATAAAAACAACCAACAGTTTTTAGATGATTCAGATTGCTATTCCAGACAAATTCTTTAAAATCAGTTAACTCCGCATCAGAGAAAGTTGAACCTCCAAGTTTTTCATCATTACTAATAACTGAGTTGAAATCTCCACATAAGAGCCAAGGAGTGCTACCAGAAGAAGATTGGTGAATAAGATTCAAACCTGCCCATAGATTCTTCCTTGCCTCCATTTGATTCAAACCATAGACTGAAGAAATAATACTTTCGAATCTTCCATCCAGAGACTTTACAGAACAAGTGATGTGCTGCAAAGATGAACTGACAATGTTTATATCAAGAATGCTTGGATCCCACAAAATAATAATTCTAGCCTTGTTAGCTTGACTGGCATTTGAAAACCAGCTCCAGGTATTAGCAATTTTCCTGACAGTAGTATACAAATTACATTCCTTTATTTTTGTTTCCAAAAGAGCTATGCATGAAAGGTGGTATTAAGAAATGAATTGTTTCACCAAAAGTTGTTTAGAGGATTTGTTCAATCCTCTAATATT